TTCAGGGTGCTGCTGTTCTCTTCTGATTCTCTTCGTTCCTCCTCCATCAGTTGTAGTTTTGTTTTAAGGCTAAACCCAATAATATACTCAAAGGGATGTGTCAGTTCAGACTTTTGGCTTCTATATGTCAGGAACCCAGTTCTAAGCCCCTCAGTCAGAGTAGGGATTTCTTTGGCCTGGAGGCCATGGAGGAGTTAGTGAAGATTAGTTCTTGGAACCTAGAATCATCAGTCACCTCTCTCCTCCCACACTTCTCATGGCCGAACCATGGCTACCACAAGCAACCACTGCTTCTCCAGCTGCTGGTAGAAAATCCTAGGGAAGGACTCTGGTTGGTTGGCTGGCTGGTGCTGTGGTCCCACTCGATGATGGTCAGCCCCACCAGAACCCCAAGTTGGTGTAGGGGAGGGCACTTTTCCACAGAGAGGCAGACACTGTCTAGACAGGTTAAATAATAAGGGTTCACACCAAGGCTATTTGGGCTCCAAGAAGAAGGACTTGTAAAATTAGACAAGACTTTGGTCTCTCTGAGCACCGCCTGCATAGTGATGAGAACTGGGTGGTGACAGGGTTGAGGAATATCTCCCTGCTCTGTGAGCTAACATCCAGAGGCAGAATAACATCATCATTGTTATCATCATCATATGCGTTATCAGTTACAGCCATGGTTGCTGTTGTTGCCGAACTGGGTGACAGCCTGGGCTGGAGGCATAAGGGCTGTAGTGGGCTCTTCCTTCCTTCATGTCTGAATTGGGGTCATAGGGCTGATCCTGACAGCCTCAGGATTCTTCCAGGCTCCTTCATTTCCATCCCGCCCTTGCCAGGGAAGCCAGACATGGGACAGGGCTGGGGATGGAGTTCTGAACAACTATTTCTGCAGAAGCTTTTTCAGAGCAAGTTTCACAAAACAGGAGGCTGGTGTGGTATGCTCTGTGTGCAGTGGGACTCCTGAGTTTTTCTATAACAGGATGGTATATAAATGACTACGTGGGGTAAGGGGTGGTCAGCCACCCTAGTTAGAGGTGACTCTCATGAGATGCAAGTTCAAGCCTTGCCCTGTGACCCTGAAACGTTCACCCTGAGCTCTCTTCCTCCATCAAATGTTTATTGAGTACCTACTGTGTCCTAGGTTTTGTTCCAGGTGCCAAAGATAGAATAGTGAATAAAACAGGCAAGGTCTCTGCCCTCATGGCTCATGTTTTGGGTGTGGTGGGGCAGATGGTAAGTTCTATGGATGGAGACTAATCAGGGCAACCGACCTCATATCTAATAATGTAAAAAGGTGAAAATATCAAAGCTTCTAAAAGAAAATGTAATACCTCTGTGACCTGGGAATAGGCAAAGATTTATCTAACAGGACAGGAGAACACCCAGTATAAAAGGAAATATTGATAAATTAGGCTTCGATTAAGATCTAGTCACCAAAAGACCATCCAGGTAATAAGACTGGAGAAGGAGTTTGCAATAAATGTGTTCAACAGAGCACTCCTCAGGGAAGCAAAGACATGAATAGGTGTTCCTGAAAGGCTGTCAGCCCCCCAATGCACCTGTGAAAAGGTAGAAATGTGAATTAAAACCACAAGGAGATAGCATTGCACAGCTAAGACATAGACCACCCACATTGAGGAGGAGCGACAGGAGCAAGTGCAGCTACACGTAACCAGACACTCACCTGCTGTTGGAGGACTGGACACAGGCTCAGTATCTACTGAAGCTGGGTGGCCTCTGTCCTGTGACCCAGCACTTCTGCCCCCAGGTAAATTCCTGAGAGATGCGAGCCAAACAGACACAAGTGTCCACAGCCACTTGTTTTATATAATATCCAAAAACAGATACAGTCTGAGTGCCTCTCAACAGCAAATGGATGGACAAGTGGACCGCTGAGGGGGGTGCCTGCTCTAGAGCACAAAGCAGTTATCTAAACTGTGAGCTGCTACTACACGTACCAACAAGGATAAATCTCACAGATGGTGATGAAGGGTGCTGCCAGGCCTGGGAGCTCTCCCTGTGTGATCCTGTAACATCAAGAAGAGGCCAAATTCAGCCAGTGTCAAAGGTCAGGGAGGCTCACCAGGAGTCTTGGGCACCTCAGAGAGCCTAGTGCTGAAGATGTGTACCTTTGTCTTACAGCTTAAGCCTCCTTTTTTATTAAGAGATGTGAGGGCAAGGTGGGCACGGGTCAGAACACTCACAGGAGAAGGTGATATTTGTGCTGAGATGAGGGCGGGAGCCTGGGTTTCTTGGAGCAGTGACATTGTGGGCCTTGAGGTGGGTATGAGGAGGTACAGAGGGACACTGAAGTCAGAGGCCATGTACAGCCCATCCTGGAGGACTGTGCAGCTATCAGAAGGACTTTGGGATTTATTCCCAGGAGGTGGGAAGCTGTAGGGTATCCACCTCTAATAAAGAGATGAGGGTTGGTGAGCCAGTCTGGATGGCTCTTGGCCTCAAGGCAGTCTCTTGGGGTTTGGGGGATTGACTCTTCAAGGGACTTCTGAGCAATTAAAATCCTACATCAATGGCTTTCCAAGAGGCTTTGGCTGTCTGAGAGAGGACAGTTTTAAAAGTCCCCAGTGGTACTGGCACCTTCTTCCTCCCTCACGTACACCCAGTTTGAAGCCATCTGCACTCAGAGCTCATTACAGCTGAGAATGGTTGCCTGGCCGGGGGTGGTGCGGGCCTTTATTCCTCAAAGACTCAATTTCCCTAAAGGTTTATAAGAGGAGGCCCTCTTTCTTTGCTTTCAAACAATTTCTTAGGCTGACAGAGGAGAGGGTTTTATTATGAAGCTTTCTGCTGTGTTACAGCACTTGAGTCCCACCTTCAGAGCTTCCTAGAGGGCCACATGCACCCCTGAGGCCAGCCACCTGCGTAGATGTCACATATGATGGGGCACGTGGCTAGGCCCAACTGGCCCTGGCACTGCAGGCGGCGCTTTTCAAGCTGGGAGTCTGTGTCCATTAGTGGGCTGTGAAATGAATTTTGTGGGTCCCAGCTGGCATTTCTGTGAGATAGAGTAGAAATCAGAGTCCACTGCACTGTGTAAGGGAGACTGTCGCCCCACGGAACTTACTATTTTACGCCTGTGGGTGCGAGTCCTGGGTCAGAGTGTAAAACACAATGCTCCCCAGCATCGTGCCAAAGTGTGGGATGACACTGCCGTGAGAAAGGGCTCTTCACTTGTTTTGTTACCTGTTCTCATTTTTGGAGTTTACGTAAACGAATTTCAGTTGCTTGTTGCCAAACCACCCACCAGCCTGTTCATGAGAGAAAGGAAGCCTGTGCCTCCAGGGAGGGGCTCCTTGACTGGGAATGACAGCCTGGGAGTGGCCCAGCCTCCCTTACCTGTGACAGCTGGACCTGGCACAGGGCAGGATGTGGCTGAAAGGAAGGAAAGTGGGAGGCTGCCTCTTGCTAGTGACCCCTTGTAACGGAGGAGGGCAAGACACCAGGTAGGCTGTGTCCAGCCAAGGCAGGTGAACTTTTGCCTCAATTCCCTCATCATAACAATTAAAATAACTGGTTAGAACCCATGTTAAAGTGTGCCTGGCCTAGAGCAAGGACAAAGTGATGGCGGTTATCCAAGACAAGTAAGGTGCGGGGACCGGGTTCCAGCCCCTGTCTTTCAGGCCAGGGGCCTCATGATGCACAAAAACCCCAGGTGAACAAAGGCCTCCAGGGATCCCACTGGGAACAACCTCAGAGAGGCAGTCCTCACCAAGCTGCTCCTTCAGGCCATTATGAAATTGGGGCATCCAGCAACAAAACCCGAAAAACAATCGTGTTGTCACTGCTGTCTTCCAGTATAGTGAACAAAAAGAATGGAGTGCGGGCAGACAGCAGGATAGGGTGGGCAGGCTGCTCTGTCCTTTGAGAATTCTATAGGAAAGAAACGGAGCCAAAGGGGCTCAGCCCACTGGCAGCTCTGGGCCCAGATCAATGGTCTCTGAGAAGTGGCTGAAAAGTACGAGTGGTGAAGCAGCCAGAGGATCCGGGGCAGCCGAGCAGGTCAGACATTTTGACAGCAGGACCTGGATAAAACCATGGCCAGAATGTGTGGGCATCTGGGTCCCCACACAGAAGGAGAGGGGTCCTAGAGAACAGGGCTGCCACCAGGTCACCAACTGCTCAAACAGCAGCCCTGGGCCTCTGCTGCTTGTTTCTGGAGGCCCAGTGGGACCCCTGGGGCAGGTTAGGTTCCTGGAGACAGAACCACCATTCTCAAGGCTGACTGAACAGCAAGGGAGACTGGCACAGGGAGAATTGTCTTCTCCCCTGGTCTTTCAGGCCTTGAATCAAGCTCCTGTTCACTCCCTCCCCAGGAGTGATGTCACCTCTTAGCTTCTCTTCCTAGCACAGGACCTGGCTCGGGTGTGGCACGACCTTCTGGCCTAGTGCACAGGTTGCTTCAAAAGTGAGACCCAGGAGTGGATACAGGAGGCCCAGGCATCTCGTGGCCACACATGGCAGGGCTTTCATCAGTTCCCTTGTGGAAAACAAGTGCTTTCTCAATAGAAAAGACTAAAAAACAGCTTTTATCTTTCATTAACATCTTGCTGGAGGGCATGTTTCCTCCTGGGTTTTTGCCAGCTTCTCTGAAAGTCACTGCTCCTAATTGCTGCCTGCAAGAGACACACAACATGCTTGCAAAATATCACCTCTCTGAAAATGCTGGTGCTTAATGCTTCCAGTACAAGCAAATAGATTTTTGCATTGTGCATAATCATTTTTCCAATGCGAAGGCTGGCTTTGTGTGGCACATGGGCTGAGGTGGTCAGGGAAGTTGGGTGAGCAGAGCCTGGATTGAAATGCATCCCTGGCCTTTCCAGGCATGGTTGCCTCTCAGGAATGTTTCAGAGCACTCAAGATAGCACATGTACAGGAAATAACTCCTGAGTCGGCTTTGACTTTCTGGTCCTGTCTGTCATCAAACCATGGGCGGTAGGGGCTTCCCTCAGTTGGCAGGGCCTGTGAGTGATGCCTGCTCTGTCCCCTTACAGTAGCAGTGGACGTCAGCTCAGCGAGGTGTTCATCCAGCTGCCCTCCCGCAAGGAGCTGCCCGAGTACTACGAGCTTATCCGCAAACCCGTGGACTTCAAGAAGATTAAGGTAAAGCTGGATTGGGGGAGGGGGCTCTCTCACTGACCGAAGACCTTGGGCCCCCTGGCTAGAGACCCGATCATTGTCTCTTGGGATTTCTCATGGCCTCAAGTGTCCCAAGGATGTGTCACCAGGCAGCCAGCGTCAGGGCTCCTTCAGGGTTACCCAGAGCTCAGGCCTCAGTCACTTGGCTCTTGTGTTCAGTGGGTCTGAGCTCCTGAGTCTGCACAGAGGAGCCTGGAAACTCAGCTGCGACGTTGTTAAGCAGAGGGACTCCCAGCCCCAGGGTCCCCAGGCATGAGGTAGATTCCCAAGGTAAGGCTGCTTCTCCTCCCCCTCCACCTCCCTCTGCCCTCACAGGAGCGCATCCGCAACCACAAGTACCGCAGCCTCAACGACTTGGAGAAGGATGTCATGCTGCTCTGTCAGAACGCTCAGACCTTCAACCTGGAAGGCTCCCTGGTGAGAAGGCACCTGGGGCAGGGAGAGTAGGCAGCCGTTCCCAGTCTTTGCCACCTTTACAGCTGGGCCCCAAACCTACATGCCCCTTGCTTCATTTTGAATTGACTGGTTTAAAAATAATTCCCAACATCTTGGAATATTTTACAAATTACAAAAGCAGTGTGTGTTCATTACTGGGGGAAAAAAAAGAGCAGAAAATAAAGACAAGTAAAATAGAGAAAGACAGTCCCATCCATCCAGGATGACTCTGAACAATTCATGTTTACCTTGGAATTTTATTTTGAATTCACTAGGAGACTCTCTTGAATCCTATGGATGTGTCCTCTCTTATTATGAAACACACACACACAGTCTCAGAGTAGCAAAGTTTTCCCATGTGTTTTTGGCATAGGTGCCTCCTGGAAAAGAGGTTTTACAGTCATAAATATGGGGAAAATGCTGGCTTAAACAAGGGATGTGCATTTCTGGTTACTGCAGACCTCCTCAGAGCCTTTAAAAGCACTCACTATGATTCTGGGGGAGGATCCTTTGGCTGTATCTAAACTCACACACCTGACCTTTTGTCTGGAACCATTTCATAATCCTGATGTTCTCTTAGGCACCGATTAGGAAAGGATAGTTGAAATGTCCCTCTGCCCCACGTGGGCTAC